AATATAAAGAATAAATCAAAGGAAAGTTATTTAAAATAAAACATTACATTTTTCTTTGTGTAAATGCTTGGTCTCTACCAGTGAGAAGAGCTGTCCAAATATTCCATACTTGCCCCTATAAAAAGCACCATAATGGTAGTGGCTATAAAACATAGATTGATACAGTGTTCTTTTGGTGAATTGTGTACTACTGGCGATGTTGCTCTTAAACTTATGAACAAACCTTGGTCAATTTCTGAATAAAACAAGATTAAATTTTTCAGTAATTTATATCTTTATGACATTCCTGCCAAAGTCAATATACGAAAGCCATGCAAATATGCTTCTTGCTTACATGTGAAAGGAAGTGATGCTATAGGCTTAGATACTTGTGAACAGGTCCCACCATGGATGACTGGTGCGACCCTTGAAAGTCATGAAGGATACAGACAAGTCTTCCTCTTGGGGGAACTGCCCCATATACTACAGAATGTTTAGAATGTCTCTCTTCTGACCACTAGTGAGAATAATGCCCTCTCGCACATTTCTGAAATACCTCCTAGGGAGGCGATAACACTTCCTTAAGAATTGTTGACCTAGATGTTTGGTATAAAAACTGAAATTTTATTGATGAAGTTTTTATACAAGATTGACTGTGCCTTAAAAATTATCTGGACAGTCTGGATGAACCTTGATAAGAACTCTTCTGTTCCACTCTTTGGATCTCATCCAATGCAGTTGCTTCTTGCTATACTTGTCTGTAGGCCTGAAGTTGGTCAATTTGGGGAGTCAACTCATTCATTAGAAGTGTATTATATAAGCATTGTTGGTAGGTTAAATCATAGCACAAAGTTTATTTCCCCTTGCTGTTGATACTTGTTATTAAGAATCTATGCCCAGCTTCATTCACACTATAATTGGATGGCTTCTTTCTGTATATGTAGCTCATCAATGATTGCTGACCTAGACTTCTGATCACTGCCCAATTCTGATCAGCAATGCTTGACCTTCTCTGTGCCTGATCAGTCTACATTGAATTTAGATGTTTTAGTACCAGGTTGTGACTTCTGATACATGGAGGGACCTTTACTAGACACCTCACTGGTCTCTGATTCCTTCTTTCAGTGTGTCTCCTGGTTCCTCTGTCTCTCCGAGAACCTTGGCTGTCACCACTGCACCCTTTCTATTTCTCTCTTGCTTTGCTTCAGTACTTTAGGTCCAATTTCTTCACCATGCTACCTATGTCCTGGCATAAAAAGCAAAACACCTTGAAGAGGCAAAAACAATGAAAACCCGTTGAAGAAAGGAACTGAATAAAAGAATCATCGATATCCTAAACAATACAGAAAATTAGAGAGAAATGAGGAAATTTAAGCACAGTTACATCATCAGTGTGCTTCCTCTCCTTTCCTCACCCAAAACCTCAAATTAGAACTAAACTCCAGGAAGAGAAGAAATTTGTCTTTTTTATTGTTCACTATTGAGTCTACAAGTTTTGCCCAGAATCTGAACCAAAGAGGATGCTCATTAAACCTTTGCTGGAGGATGAATGAATGAATGAATGAATGAATGGATGACATTATCACATGAGTAGTAGCAGGAGGAAAAGGTAGTTTGTGTGAAAGTGTGAAGTTTCCAATCAACAGTGAAATGAACCACACGTTGTTCTTAACAAAAAAGGCTTATTCAGATTAGTTACCTACTTTCAAAGTCTTCAAAACCAAGCTAACATTTTCTAGTAACAAATGCATAACTTTTACGATCAACAACAAGCAGTGCTTATTAGCCTCCACAAACACTCACACAAGTACATATATAAAATGACACTGCTTCTAAAGAAATTCTAAAGAATTTGATTTAAAATTTAAATTGTAAATTTTAAATGTGTGTCATTATTCTCCCTATTTAAGTACTGGACAGCAACAACAATCGCTCATATAGTTCATTTTCCAATCTGAGAAATTTCCATTTGTTTATCCATGAGTAACTCACTTTAAAAATTACAGGAATGTTATCTTCTATTTGAACCTCAACAACAAAATAAAAGGCTATATTTAAATTGCTTTGAATCAAACAAGGGTTTCACTCTCCTAAAACTGGCATATTTTGAACTATAAAATATGATACAAAAATTCATAAAAATATTTTGAATTATTAGGTCTTATGCCTAAACAGTAAGTAAAACTTTCGTGCAAAAATAGGTTTGCTTCAAATTTTGAAAAATGATATGAAAAATCTAGATATCGAGCACTTGTTATTCAGGTGCGATTTCTGTATCAAAGAACATTTTTGATACATAAACAGAACCACAAAAAAAGATTTCTAATTTAGTATTGAGTACCATAATTTGAAAATAATAAACTAATAATTTCCTGGTCTTCTAGCGAATTAGGGAATTCAGAGTATTTCTTTCTATGGTAACTAGCAGAAGCAGGAGGCGAAAGATGGCAGCAGTGAGTCATTCCAAGACCTAGCACTAAATATGATCACTTTACTATTTTCAATATTATTTAATTGTACATTTAGTAATATCTTAAGTTACAAATTATTTTAGAAGAATAGAAATCATAAATGTTCCAATGAAATCTGGCACAGAGCAATTAAATCAAAGTAGTCCAGGGCACAACTGCTCTCTTTAAACACCCTCCTCATGCACCCTCTAAAGAAGTCTTTGGAGAGAGCCTATGGCTCATTTCCATGGCTTATAGTAAATGATTAGGGTTTGCCATTGCTCATTTCAAAAAATAACTCTAAAAATCTTCAGGAAATTATTTTCTTAACTGAGATATCCATAGGCATAAAAGACACACTTATTTCATGTGGATAGTATCTATGTACCTGCTCTGCATTTAATCCAAAGTCTAACTGATTTCCCCTCCATATCCCCCTGTCCCCAATGCTTTCCAGAACTAAAAGATGTAAAGAGGAGTACCAGTAAAAAGAAAAGAGAGAGAGAGAGAGAGAAAATTAAAAATTCTAACCAAAGCTAAGGGGAGAACAGAGAGTATCCTTTAAGATACAATGTGGCCTAATGGACATTGTGCTACTAATTCGTCTTGTACAAAGCACTCCGCAGTAATTGAACTAACTGCCTTTCTGAGAACTAAAATGAAAAGTATAGCTCAACACGTGCTGAAAAATGGCTCTGCAGTGTCTTTCGTCACCGAAATCAGGAATATTTTAATATGGATCCAGCTTGATAACTTGGATCCAGGCTGGAGCCCTGCCTGTGGAGGCGAGTCCAAGCGTGTGTATGCACGTCCAGTTCTGGGGGAAGAGGGTTAAAAACGAATTTTTGCATTGGTGTCAAAAGTCCTTGCTTTATCTATTGCTCCTTGCACTTACCTCTCCCTATTTTCACCTGTCTAAAACTTTTCTCTTTTGCTCTTACTTCAGATTATATTTTACGTTACTCCAAAGTATATTAGAGAATAGCTCCGGATAAATATTCAAGTCATTTAACCTTATTGGATAATCTCTCAGGACACAAAAGAGAAGCACTTTGTTGCTGAGAATCATACGCCCCCAAGCCCCTCTGATGACAATTTCCTGTGTTCTGTCCTGCTTATCTGTGTCTCTGAAAGCAGCTCTGGGCAGTAATGGAGTGGAGGAGATCGCAGCCTCCTACGGTCTGGGATCTACAGGGTCAGGGATGGTGAGCTGCGACATACTTAGGAGGAGCGCTTGCCCTGGCTCCTGGGCAGGCTGCGCTCTGCTTGCCCATGCCTTGTAACCGTCATGATTTATGAAACAGAGGGACACAGGTGAAGGCCCAGAGGACTTCCTTGACACATGACATGAGTCTTGTTTTCTAACAAGAGTTGCCCCGTTCACTACAGTGATTCTACTTCCTGTATTTCGCAGCAAGAGAGGCATAAAGTCGAACGGACTCAATGAGCTGTGTCACCATGAGGGGACAGGGAAAACCAATCTGAAAGTAAAGACAGCCGTGCAGGTCGTCTAGGAAGACTATGCCGCAGCAACGCGTGAGGTTTCCACAATCGTCTGGGAAAGGGGGGAAAAGAGGAGGAAGAGAAGGTGCAGAGGTAGGAAGGAAGGGTGGGGGCAAGAGGAGGAGGGGAGCCTGTCACTGCAATCTACTCAAGTTCCAGACTGGACAGGGTCTTTCTGGCAGGAAGTTTACATACATTTCAGATCCAAAGCCAGAGGGATTTTGTTTAAGGAGAAAGCCTCTCCATCCGCGAAGAGCATGTTTAATCTAAGCACTGGAGGTGGCGGTGAGATTGGACTGGCACTTGTGGGGAAGATCACAGACGGATGTCCTACTTCTTTGCTCTAGAACCACAGGATTTCAGAGACCTCCTCCACCGAGTGGCACGCACCTTCGGCCTGACCGTTGCCCCCTCTGCACACAGGCTATCCTAGGACCCCCTCCACCCCTGCCCCTTTGTTTGCAGGCTGACTTGTGCCCCGCCACTATACACTGTCAGCATCCTGCACGTGCAGGAAGGAGCCGGCCCTCTGAGAACCTGCCCAGCCCGGGGTGCTCGGGCCTCTCCCGGGTCTCTTTCGGCTTCCGCCTGGTTCCCCAGCATCCACCCCTCCAGGGCCAGGGCGTGCGCTCCCAGGGATGCTGGGCCGTCTCCCAGCCCGCGGCCTCCTCCCCTCTCTCCTGCTGCTGCCGCGAAAACCAGGAGAAGTGGAATCGCACGGCGAAGCGGCGCGCTGTCGCGGCGGCACTGGGCATGCTCGGCACCCGGGGCAGCTTCGGGCGGCGGGGCTGACGCTTCCTCACTAGCCAGGCGCCCGAGCCGGCCACCGACGCTTTGGTGGAGGCTGAGGCTGCCGCGCGCCGCGGGAGGAGCCTCGCCCTCGGCGGCGGCGGCGGCGGCGGCGGCACAGGTGGCGCGGGCCGCGCGCGAAGCGCAGCTCGGGAGCGCTCGGCGCCGGGCGCCCGGCGGCCCCAGGCTCGCGCCCGCGGCTGCAACCGGCCGAGCGGAGCGGCGGGCGCGGCGGCGGCGGCGGCTCTCCCAGCCCGGCCGGAGGCGCCCGGAGGAGCCCGCGGAGCCCGTGGAGCCGGGCAGGGGGCGCTGCGCTCGCCGCGCTCGGAGGGGCCGCCGGGCCGGGCGCCGCGCCCTCGCGTCGGGAGCCGCCTCTCCCCCGCGGCGCTCGCCCCTGCTCCCCGCCAGCATCCCTTGTCCCGCGGCCGCGCTCAGACAACAAAAGCGGAAGATGCTGCAGTTGGGCAAGGTCAGGACCTTGCCCTGAAGCCGGGCGGCGGCGTGCACGCCTCTCCCCGACCGCGGAGTCGTCGCCGGTGGCGGGTGCATGTTCTCCAGGAGGCAGTCGGGCGCCGCGCCGCTGGGTGAGTTGCGTTCGCGGGCAGCCGGGGACAGGCGCATCCTCCTCCCGGCGGCGTCCTGCTCGCCCTCCTCCTCCTCCTCCTCGCCGCCGGCGGGGGTGGCTCCTCCGTCCCGGCCGCTGGCGGCGGCTGCGGCGACGGCTGCTGCGCGGTCCTGCCCGCCGGGGGAGGACCGCCGCCGCACTGGGTCCCCTCTCGGAGGACGCCTCTGCCCGCCGGGGCCGGGGTTAGTGCCTTCTCGGCGCGGTTGCCAAGTGGCTCCTCTGCGTGCTCCCCCTCCCCGCCACCTATCTCCCCCGGAGGAGGCGTATATAGGGCAACACCAACAATAGTGCGCCCTGCCACCCCCAGAACCCACCCGTTGCCTTCATGACGTCCCTAATACACAGGAGAAGACGGGGTGGGGGCGGGGAGGACTTCCCTCCAGTCTTTTGCCCTTATGTTCAATGTCATTACGATGTTTGGCTAGAACAAAATGGAAATACTTAGTCATATGCGTCCATGGCCGTTTCTTCAGTCTCCCGCTGCTTGCCAGCCCCAGAACCTCTTTGGTCTATATTTAGCGGTTTCAGAGGAAGCGTTTTCAGCTCGATTCACAGGTTTCGGGGGCTTCTGCGTCCTGACAATAGATAGCGAGGCTCTGGAAAGCGCCGCCTGAAACCCAGGTTGGGAAAGCCGTGCATGTGCATGGGAGATTGCGATGCGATATTTGGGTGATCGGTAATTAATGGCCGAAAGCAAAGCTGCTTTTTCTTTTTCGCCGACCTTCCTCTTATTCTGGTGTGTAATATGTTTTCTTCGATTGCTACTCAGCTGGTTGGAGCCACTACGCTGAGAATCAAGTCACAAGAGAGGTGGTGCAGCCTCCCTGATCTGTGTGGTAGGAAAACAGTCTCACGGATTTTTGGGGTGTGTGTGTGTGTGTGTGTGTGGTTCCAACAAAGAACAGCTACTTCCAAAATGCCCAAAGTTGTGTTTGGAGGTAAATGGGGGGAAGGGGTAGTGAAAGGTGTGGAAATAGATAAAAAGGGGCAGTTTGTGGATCCATAGTGTTTGTCCCTCTTGTCTGCTTCAGTTGAACTGATCTGATTTGCTTTGGTTCTGAAAGGTGTTATTAACATGCGTGCCTAATGTTATGGAGCAGATATGTTGGTTTAGAAAAGGGATACGTGTTATAAGCATAATATCAGACCTGACTTGCATAGATTTTCACTTTTAGGAACTCTTGTGACCAATATTTAAGATGTTTGGAATTTTCTACAAGGACTTCCATAAAAATAAGGAGGTGCTGAAACTGCCCTAGCCAGGAGTTATCTCATTGTGCATCTTTGCATCAGTAGCTAGGTTGCTGTGGTGGTAGAGTTCATCTCTTTGCTGTTAGTAATTCACCTATAGGATTAAAAGGCTTTAGAGCTGCACCGCTTCTAAAATCCCATGAAGTGTTTGATATGACTCATATCCAATTACAGGGATGAACCTCTACCTAGCTCTCTGGTGGCTCTCTCTGTGAGAAGTATGACAATAGGGTGGGCATCCTCAAATATGGACTAGATGCTTTAAAGTGCTGCCAATTCTCTGTGCCACATGCAGAATCCATTTTTCAAGTTTTTGGGAAAATGTTAAGTGGCATCGGTATGGGGCTGTGGGTTATAAGCTCTCATGGCTTGAATGAAGATGATTGCAGTTAGAGTTGCATTTGCTGAAATCCGGGAGGCCTGTAACTATAAGCTAAAAAGTCTCTGTGTTGCAGAAAGACTAGCAATGTCTGTGTGGCTAGAGTTAACCGAATGGTGTGATTTGTTTTACCCAATACAGTTTTAGTTCTCTTATTACATTAAGAAAACTTTCCCAGAGCACATTGTTTTAATAAAAAATTTTCTCTCCAAAAGAAGCAGTAGGTGAAGTAGACATTCATTTCTCTTTTCTTTTTGACACTACTGATTCAGTTTTAAACATGATTCTTAAACGACTAGTAGATGTTATTCTGTGTCTCTGTATGTACGCAGAGAGCAGCTGATGAGCATGGGGAAAACCGAATGCTTTGTATATTTGATTTTTAGGTCATATTGTAGATTGAAAATGATAGCACCTGATTGAATGGCAATTATACTAAGTACATGAGGTTGTAGCTCTAATAAAATTGTCATAGTCTTACACAAAGGAGTTATTTAATTTGGTGTGTGTGTAGTTGTATAACCTAATCATTATAGATGTCACCAATGTTTTCATTGTTTGTAAAAAAAGTCACACACTGCCAAGTTAGTTATTTCCATCAACTTCACATTTTTCACAATAGAGTACAAGCCAATTCTTTTCTCCCAGTGAAATGGTTCATCAGAGAGAAAAAAGAAATTAAAGTGGTATTAGTGGAAAATGCAAGTTATAGTTTTGTTAAATAATTTCTAAGGATAATATCACTTTCATAATGACCTTTAAAATTAAAAATGAACTTATCAAATGCATTACGTTTGACATATAATTGAATATGTAGTGCTCTGAAGATGTTATATAGAACATGTAAGTTTCTGCTTTATCTAAGTTCTTTATTTTATGGTATGCATTTATATAAAATTGTTGAAGAATTCTCCAGACTAATTTCATCCAGTTGTCCTTATGTAGAAAATAGTAAAGTTACATTTAAAGTAATGCAATTTGTTTGTCCCTAAAGTATACTTTGTATGAACCCCAAAATCTGGCTATAACAAAACACCTGCATCAAAGTAGGAACTGTTGCATTTGGAACTGCTAGAAGGGTTCCCTTTAAATTTTTTTCCTCATGGTTATCCACAGAAAATATGAACAATCATTTGTGATTGTTTCTCTGTGTGAACACTGTTTTTCATTTCTTTAGTGGGGAATTGGTGATGCTAGTATCACTCTTCCTAAAAGTTTTTTTTATAAAAAAGATGCCACATAGTTGACAGAGTATAAATTCAAACACTGTAATTCAGAGATGAACAAACACCAAGAGAAGACAGGCAGGTATCTTTAAATACAGTACTTCTGTTGATGGTCTGGTACAGTGGGTCTTTGCTGAGTAACACTCTCTCAAGCCCAATCTTAGGCTGGCTTCCATGGTGGTTTCCATCACCCATATTTCAAAGGTGTTCTCGGGGCCACAGTACTTAGATGGCTTTGTGTAAATGTTGTATAGATGTGGGCGAATGTTCATTTGAGTGGGAATAGTTCATGGTACTTGTTGCTGGTTTAAAGATTATCTGATTATATGCCAAAGCAACAGCTTTTTAGATTAATGTAAAATATTAAATGTGTCATAGATGAATAGTTCCTATCCCATGTCTGCCAGTCTTGCCTACTGATTAATAAACTGCCTGGTTGGGTTTAATGAATCCAATTATATTCACAAACAGTACCTCCAACATAGGAAACTCACAGAAATATTTTATACTGAGCTTTTAGTCCATTAAAAATGTTAAGACTCATAACAAAAACATGTAGTTATGGCACCTCCAGTTGTTTATGTTTTGATCACATAGCAGTTAAGTGTAATTTCAGGCTTTGTATCATGGTTAATTGATTTGTAGAAAATGTCTTGGCTGTATTAGGGCATTGAAGTTGTACTCTATATCAATTAGTTTTTGACAAATTGGAAATAATGACTCAAGAAGTGAAACTCTGCTTCCTAGGAGCTTTCCATCTTAGACAAATAATCACCTGTGTCCCTTGGTAAGATTCCTGAAAAGTTGTCCATAAAATGAATTATTTATTTAAACTTAGTACTCCATTATCATTTCATATCAAATATATTTCTAAATAAAAAGTTGAGCTCTACCCTACAATGAATATATAAATACATATATAACGTGTATTAAAACATATTACTTACATATAAAATATACATGTAAGAAATACAGTTTTTACATGTATATCATATATATGCTATATGTATATATATATATATGTGTGTGTGTATATATATATATATATAAAATATGTAATGCTATTTTGAATTCTGCTTTGGGTAGGTGCAGAGATGATGAGAGCCCTGACTTTGGGTGGATCCCAGCTCTGTCCCTTCTTAGCTTCTTAGCTGTCCCTTCACCATTTATGTGATACTCAGATTTTAGCTCAGTGTTTTCAACTGTAAAGTGGGTACAGTAAGACAAATAATATCTTAAAAATTGATTCAAAAGATAAGTAAATGCATAAGTGGTTTGTAAATTGTAAACATATATACAAACATAGGAGATATGTATCTTAATATTAAGATGGATACTTTATGTATTATTAGATATGTTATATAGGCTACATCTTCTCTAACAAAGGCTATTAAATGGATATATTCTGTCCCTACTCCTATTGTATTATTACTTTATTATATGGATTTGCATATAAAGTGTCAAGTTTTCTACTCTACAACATACCTTTACATAGTATGTATAATAAAGGAAGAGAAGTAAATCATGTCTCCCGGCACTATTATTGAAAAAGATTCTAATCAGTCAGAAATTGCAAAACTTTGATACTTTCTATTAGTGTTATATTATTCACCTGATTAAGATCAAATTGTCTACAAAGATTAATATTGTGAAAGAGTATTATAGACAGTTTAAAAAAAGTAACTTTTTGAGGTAAAATATTAAAGTCTGCTCTGTTTAGAACCACATAGCATGAATCCCATCATAGTATCACTGTGACAAAGAATAATGAAACCTGACAGCTTCATTTATTACATAAAGAGAAGACCCATCCTACCCCACCCTATCCACAATTAAAGTCACCTCCAATTAAAGGGCTGGTGCTTTTGTACCTTTTTGAAAATAAATGATCATTTTCACTTGTCGTTTCCCTCATCGTTGCTTCGGTAAAGTGCCCAGCCCTCTGGGTTTGATTATGTCCAGCACCAGGCAGAGCTGCGATCTTCAGCAACTAATCCTTACAATGATAATGCTTGAATGTATCTTAGATTTTGTTACAGAATGTGACCTATGTAACAGGAGACTAATTTGTTTTAAGTCAGAAAAACATTTTGACAATATATA